TTTGTGTATGTAAATTATAATTGAATTTAGACTACGTTTGGTAAATCTAGGTGATAAAGTCAGCTTATAGCTTATAGTTCATGATTTATGGCTGAAAAACTAGCTCATATAATAAAAGCGTTTGGAAAAATTAGTTGAAATAAAAATTTCGATAGGTTTATCTAAAAAGCTACATAAGTTAACTTATGAGATAAGCTAGAATTTTTTTCGTCCTAGCAAACCAAACTTATTTGAATACAGAAAAATCATAATCTAATTAAATAAGCTATTAGCTAGCTTATAAACTTACCAAACACAACCTAAATCATTTATGTATAGTTTTAACTAAGTTTGGTTCAGTATAGAAAGGAACAAACCAGAGAGGGTGACGAGGTCGTGGACTGAAAGCCCGTGTGCCTTGAAATTCATGATAAGGGTAGTGAGGTTTGATTGTGGAGAAGGAAGGCCGGAAGGAAGGCTACTGTTCGCTAAACTGAAGTTAGCTGTCCTGGAGTCTCTTCTTCCTAGCTGTACTTGCCAGCTGGGCCCGCCAAGCTGCAAATTAATTGTGGATTTATATGTAAGGGTTATTTGAATTATAAAATTTACAAGATCTTTGTCCATGCGAATACTGTTCCAGATTGTGTTAATTGTTATATATATAATGTATTATATAAAAGTATTATTCCTCAACTCATGAGTCATGACAGTCAAAAAAGGGCACATGCCCAACACTACTAAGTTCAACTTTATTTCATAGAAAATGGTAAGCAATTTCAACAGCGTCCACCATTATCGCGATTTTTATTCTTCCGGCTGTAGGCTAACACATAAACATGCCGATTTTATTAACCTTTGAGACCTCAATTGATTAGTGCTTGACAAACGGCTCATTCCCTAGCTAGCTAAGTGATTATCACAATCAATTTTATATTCTTTAATTTGGGACCTCAATTAGTGCTTGGGTTGGGTACTTACAATGTTGACTGAATCCCTAGCGGCAATGGCCAAGATATCGGCACAAGAGACCACGCCCGGGCACTTTTTCTCCACAGCTTCCTTGATGTGGTCAATGACATCATATCCTCTGAGGGAGTGTTTGTTGGGGCCCGCGTTCTTCTCTCCCTTGAGAGTCGGTGTGTCGTCTAGCAGAATCGACCCATCACATCCCTGAACGAAGAGAAAAAATTAAAATCGTTAGTACTGATCAGTTGCAATACTAACCATGAAATTTAGTTTCAGTTAGTAATAATGCATTATGGCACGATGAAATCGGGACGAATCACGATACAAACTTTCCATCGGCATCGACAAAAAAATAAAAAATAAATAATGTGTAGAAGACAGCGCAAACTAAAAGTTTCGCGCAACAATATTTATATATAATTGCGAAATAAGTATATAGATATAATGGAATTTACGTTAATGAAACAATCATGGAAATGCATGCGAAGGAGGGAGGCTCCCATCCGAGCCTGGTTCTTAATCGCACGAGCCACGACATTTCTCACGATATCAGTAAGGTTGGGGCAAGCTATCGAGTAATAATCTGGGCCATAAAGTTTAGCGGAGGAGCTACTTAGGAGGACGAGGAGGACCGCGCAAGTTAAGAGAGCTTTGTAAGAAGGAAAAGAAGCCATTGGGGGAAAATTTGGGTATTGTAGTTAATTAGCAAAATTTGTATTTATCAAACAATTTTGTTGTGGATATGAAGATAATAGCTCGAGGCTTGAGTTTATATAGAGAAGTTGACAAGTGCCTTTTTTGTGCTACAGCTTAACCCAACTCATAGGCGTGAAAACAAAATTTTAATTTATTAATTTTGAAAAAAAGTGATTAATAGATACTAATCAATCTCAGGCTATTTTGTGAATCGGAGGACAATTACGAAGGAACAGGCTGTGTAATGCTTTTGACTTGTGATCGACTTGAAATAGTCTTAGGGTACGAGGATTTTACTAGGAAATTAATCGATATTAATTAACTACAAACGGTACTTTGTCCCGCGCATATATATACATATGTGATAAGAAAATGTTAGAAGTTATAAATGTAAAATACTAAAAGAGTATCATTTCATATAACTTTAGTTATTACTTATTATGTTGATTATACTCATAAAAGTAAATATCAATCAAAATTAGAAAATTTGAGTTAAAAAAACAATGTAATATCAATATTGACCTCCATGTTAGAATTTTAGATACCCAAAAAATATCGTATTTTCAAACAGTATCGAATTTTTAATTTCAGATGGCATGCCGTCAACCGACGTGTCAAGACATATCATTCGACAGCTGAAAAAAAAACAATAAATATAACTTACTTGGAGCAGAAATAGAATAATTTGTGTCAATATATATAAGTCAATCATATTATTAATAATTTTTAATTAATGTGATTGTTGCAAAATAATGGAGTAATTTATGAATCACTGCAACATTTATAGAGAGCAACGTTTATTAAATTCTAATAGCGTGAAGGTATTCAACTTACTATACAGTTTTACTATGGAGTCCTCGGATGACTCGACTTATGGAGTAATCTACACTTATTCATCAATAGTGTATTAACAGTCCTACAATAAATACAATTTGGACATGACTCCATAAGAAAATCATACGATGATATACACAATATATAAATATATATAGCTTAATTTCCAATTACGTTGCTGTTATACAGAATATATATAGTGTGTGTTTGTTAACTATCATAAATTAGTTAAATTAAATATGATAATTTGTTTTTTCTTTTTTCAAGAATAATTGAGTTCATACGTACATAGGCTTGTACAGATTTTGTTTAAAAAAAGTTCATTAGATTTTTTATTCTACCTGACTAATTCTAATTATCAAATGCATTTAGTAAAATCAGTTAGTTCTCATTGATCATCCACCAAAAATTAGCTTCCTAAATCAACCAAAAATTATTCTAACCAAACCTCAATTAGTAATCAACAAATCTTATTTTCACAAATTATGTTGTGATGATGCAGTATAACTATAGACCACGTGGAAACGTCATAACAAAAACACATATACTTTCTAAATAATATATCTTTAGGTACAATATTTTTAGAATTAAGATAAATAATTACAAAAGTATGCCAATTTATCCAAAAAATTATATTTGTCTATGCGTATTTATTTAGCATAATTATTTCTTTTTACAGTAAACATCTGAGATTGTTTTTTTCCTGGACTTTCATTTGAGGAACATTTTTTTTACGCTGAATGAGGCACCAATACGCGAAGTTTTAATTGCCAGTTGTCCGATAAATAACTTTATTCAAAAAATCAAAAGGTTGATATGGACGGTGACCAAGTTAGTACGTTTTGGCAGGGGCAATTGATAAAATGTGTTCATAACTATTAATGTCAAGCTACAATTACGGCCTGTCTGGTTAAGTTTTGTCACTCTATAACCGAATTACTTAAACCTTTCGTTATTCAGGCCATCCGTAAACACAAATTCTTGGTCAAACAACTTTTTTATAATTTTAATAAAGTTATAAATTTATGCGATGCAATGTCTTGGGTCAAACAACTTTTTTATATTTTTAATAAAGTTATAAATTTATCTATATCTATATCTATACTATTATAAAAGGACGAGTAATTTTGTAAAAATAATGATCTACCTAAAAAACTCTTACTTTGACATATTTTTAATGACAAATTAGTAATACTGTAATATCCATCTTATTTTATATTTTTAATTAACAAATGAACTACCTAAAAACCCTTACTTTGACTTATTTTTAATGACAAATTAGTAATACACTAATACTCATCATATCTTATATTTTTAATCAATAATTAATATTTAGGTAAATAAATATAAATACACGAACAAAATATTCTAGATCTCCTAAAAATCAACCTCAACATTCTCATACCATTATTCCTCACGAATTTGTTTCTTTCACATATCTATCAAAATGCTTCTTTCATATCTCCAAAAAATTAACCCATACAACAAAGCTTTGAAAAGATACATAATTGATATTTTGAAAAATAATTTATTTTTAATGTAAAATCGTAATTACTTTAATTAATAAAAAAAACTACTACATGAAATTAAGTTTAAAAAAAATTGCTATATTGCAATAAAAAATACTATGTCAGACATTCCACTGAAAATCACAACGAATATTCATTGGTATAGTGAATATATACATAATCTAACAAACTATAAAGGTGGATCAATTTATTTAGCTACTTCTATTAAGAAAAATACGCTCTTACATTTAGAAATTGCACCTTTTATTTATTGAATTGAATTTTTATCCCACAAAAAATACACTCAAATAATAATTACTTTTATTATTTAATATTAAGAAATTTAACTCAATTGAAAAATTAATAGGTAATTTTGAGATAAATTAATGAGTGATTTTAAAAATATATATGGACTAAAAAATTCGTGTGTTAAATATATTTTTAATAGAAAAAATTTAGGTATTCCACTGAAAATTGCAATGAATATTTTATTGGTGTTGTGTTCATTGGAAAATTTCAGTGCCTATTGCAATAGAGATCAAATTAAATTACATTGAATTTTTTGTTGATTTAATGATTATAATTACCATTATTTATTATTGTGTGAATTTCAATTAGAATTTGTTTTCGGACCATATTTCAACTGTTGGAAAAATTGTCAATGAAATTTTAAAAAAATTCAATATAAGTTTATGGAAAGCTAATTGCAGCGGAGGATACAAAATAATTTCATATTTGGGGCACTATTTAGTTAATAGAAAAAGTATACCATCAAAATAATATAATGAACTACAATTTATAAAATATACTTTTCATACTTTGTCATCTTTCTCATCTGTAATACATTTTTAACACATATAAGTTAGAAAATATTTAAAAAAAGCATGACTTTTATTAATTCAATAAGAAAATCATTGAAAACAATGTACTTTTTAGAATTTTTTTGAACAAAAACTTTATGTGGAACAATGTAAAGTAAAAAAAATATTAAATTCCATAAATAATATTAAAAGCGTTATAATTGATTAAAATAAATATAAAACTATTAAAACTTGTATTTATCAATATAAAACGAGTTGAGTTGTAAACATTTGTTAATGTTTTGTGATTATTAATTCTATGTGTAAGGTTTAGATGACAGACAATAGTTATTTGTATTTTTATCCATTTAGGTTGGAACTTTTAAAATTAAAAAAAAAAAAAACTTGATTGTTCTAATTTTAAATAACTTTTTAATTTGCTATTAGTTTTTTAAATATAATAAACAAATATCATATTACATTTATACAATAGTAAGTATTTTCATTATTTAATATTTAATATGTAAGAAATATAACTCAATTAAGAAATTAATAGGTAATCTTGATATAAAATAATGAGTGGTTTCTAAAAAAATTACATGGACTAAAAAGCCATGTGTTTAATGTATTTTTAATAGCAAAATTGTAAAGATAATTAATTAATAACAAAAGATGCTATATAAAAATTTAATGTTTAAGAATGAATACAATAAAAAAAAACAACAACAACCGTAAGGTATTCCACTAAAAATTTCAACGGATATTTCATTGGTATAACTTTAATTGAAAATTTTCATCGGCTATTCCAACATAGATAATATTAAATTACATTAGAATTTAACTGTAATTATTCCAATTACAATTATTTATTGTTGAATTTTTCATTGGAATCTTTCTTGAATAATATTTCAACCATTGAAAAACATAGAGTCATTGGAATTGTAAAAAAATCAAAGGAAGTTTCATTGGAAAGCTAATTGCAGTGACAGATCCAAAATAATTTTTTACAGGGGGCACTATACCGTCAAAATAACATAATGCTTTTATAATTTATAAAATTATAATTTTTATAATATGTCATTTCTCACATGATATACATTTTTAATACATGAATACAGCCACGACAAGTTAAAACAAATTAACATAAGAAAAAAATAATTTTTCTTCCACATAATAAAATCATTGAAAATAATATTTTTAAAATTTTTATGAGCAAAAAATTTATGTTGTGTTATAGTTGACTCGATAATATAATTAATAAAATATAACCTATAATTCTACATACATTAGTTAAAAAAGACATGAAAAAAGTTAGAGAAAAAAATATGTTGCAAAAGAGAGAATAGAAGCTATCATCAAGATTAAAAAAATAAAATTAAAATGGTGAAATTATAATTTCTAGATTTATCCTATTTTCTTTAGTTGTAAAATTGTGTTTATGTTATAACTTTAATAAAGTTATGAGCTGAATTGAAGTAAAATTGGTTGAGTCACAAATTAATTCATTATTTATCTTTCTTTCTTTTAATTTTATTTTCAGAATAGGGGGTATGATTAAAATTATGAAAAATGTTCCCACAATTTTTATTATATACATTATGCTATATGTTTTGGGAAGTGGCCATGTGTCGACCGTGTTAAAGAAAATGGATCTGCCCATGATTCCAACAAAATATTTTTGTTATAATTTTCATTGAAATAATTCAAATGAAAGGAATAACATTTACATATTCGTTAGAACTGTCGTTGAAATTCGATTGTAATACATTTTTGTCGGAATCGTCGTTGGAATTTCATCATTTTTTTTTGTAGCAAAGGTACTTCTCCATTTGCGTTATATATACTATTGTGTGCAATTTTTTTTTTTCAAGTATGCAATTAATTATTATGAAAATTATTGATAATGATTGAATATATAACACATGAAATGTAATTATAATTTACTTTATTATAATTAGTA